GCTTGCAAGCTTTTAAGACCCCAGATGCCACTCACCAAAGTAGGATGTAGAACATTTTCTTAATAAACTTCGTTATGCCAATTGACCTAGATGTTCCCTGAAAGCATGGTCCCCAGACCCCTGCCCCTGCTACTCTGTCCCTCAAAGTTTTTGCTTGTATTCTGAAAACTTCTTAGCTTTGGTTTAGTCCAGTTGTGCTGACTTCCCCTGTAGTGTGTTTAAAATTATTTTTACACAACTTGTTAAATACCTATATAAACAATAAGTTCTACGTTGATATATAGAGTTTTTTTGTTTGTTTTGTTTGTTCAGTTTCAAATTATTCCTATTTAACAGGTCTTATATTTCAAAGGAGGAAGTTACCTTCTTTAAATAACAAGCCAATGTGCTGACTGATTTGTTCATGGAATTTTTACAAGAAGAAATAACCATGACAAATAAATTTAAACCTTAATCTATGAATTTCATGATTATGCTTTCAAACTAGGAACATTAGCCAGCAGTCTAGTCTAAACAATTACAGATGTAGCCATACACTGTTGAGGGAGGAATACAATCAATGTCAACATGTGTCAGAACATTCAAACCAAATCACCTACCTTGTGCATAACACAGTGGAAGTTTGGCATTTATCCAATAAAAACATAGTGTTGTAGGATACATCTCATTTATCTGTCTAGTCAATCAATTTCATCAGATAATTTGTAACATTTTCACTTCATTTTTATTTTAAGTGCTTTGGTCTCTGTATCATCTTCTCTCCTAAATCCCAGCATCTGGGATCAGAACTGATTTAAAAAAAGACAAGAAAACTATAGTATATCAAGTTTAACAGGATATAGAGAAGCAGTGGTTATCAATACAGGAGACTGCCCCAGTTTTCAGCAATAAAACAAAGCAAAACCCATCAGCTTCTTTCACTGCAAATACATTAAAAGGGCAAAGTGATATAGCTATGAAATAAGACGTAAAGATGATACAGTGGCATTGGTTTGACCCAGCCACAGGGCATCTGAATTTTGAACCCTTAGCCCCTGACAAAATCTATAAACCGTGGGGTTAACCCTATGCAAAGGTTAGATTGGAGATTCCTGTGAGTTACAATCTTTTTACTTGTGGGATCTTAACTATAAACTTTGCCATTTATTACCCTGCCCTTATCAAGTGTTTTAGATCTCTGTACCGGTATAGTAATGCTCAGCAGGAGTAGCATGAGTCAGAAGGAAATCTATTTACCGAGAAAGCGTGGTGACTAAGTTCTAAGAGTTCAAAACAAGTGTTTTTCTAACTAGGGAGTGTGGGGGATGGTTAATTCTGCTATCATCACTGCTTCAGTTAAAAAAGAAAACAAAACTAGTTTGTCTTAAACAGAAAGGAACATGTTAGTATCTCAAGAGGTATTGAACTATAGCAGAAAAAAAGAAAAAGAAGAAGAAGGGGGCAGCAGGATGAAACAAACCAAGTTAGGAACACAAAATCTTTTTCCACCCAACCTAACCACCCCTTTTTATTCAAAGTTTACATGAGCTAAAGCTCAGATGCTCATACTTAGACTTGACAAGTTTATGCTGCCTACTTGAAGGCTTAATTAGTTTGCTTTTATAGCAAGTAATAGATGCTATTTAGTACCTGCAAAAAATTAATTTCTAAATTTATACCTGATTTCTACAAGGGCTTTATTTTCTATTAGTTTCCAGCTAACTTTATAGAGACAGGGGAATAATAAATGATCTGGCTGATGTCAGAGAGTAAAAGAAAAGTTAGCACTTAACCCAAGATGTCATTTCTAGCAAGATACTTTGTTCCTAATCAAAGGGTTGCTGTTGTTGGATGCCTCTTGAGTTGATTCTGACTCGTAGCAACCCCATGTGACAGAGTAGAACTGCTCTATAGGGTTTTCTTGGCTGTAATCTTTACAAAAGCAGATCACCAGGTCTCTCTCCCACTGAGGGGCTGTGTGGGTTCAAATCACCAACTGTTTGGTTAGCAGCTGAGCACTTAACTGTTGTGCCACCAGGCTCCTCCTAATCAAAGTAATATATTGCAAATTTCATCAAGCAAGTATTTTCTGATTCTCTATCAGTTACCAGTAGCAGCTGAGCGATTTAACCACTGCACCACCAGGGCTCCTTCAAAATAATATATACCTAAGTCATTTCTTGGGACCCTGGTGGCACAGTGGTTAAGAGCTCAGCTGCAAACCAAAAGGTCAGCAATCTGAATCCACCAGCTGCTCCTTGGAAACCCTACGGTGCAGCTCTACTCTGTCCTATAGGATCACTATGAGTTGGAATCAACTCAATGGCAACGAGTTTTTTGGTTTCTGGTTTTTTTTAAAGTCATTTCTTGTGTCTGTGAATTTGTCTTTGTCTTAAAAGTCGGCAGGATGTTATAGTGAGCCCATCAATGTTTTACAAGTGAAGAAAATGGAAACTCAACTACCCCAAGCAAGTAAAATGCCCTCCAAATAGTTTTTGTAATCACAATTGAACTCAAAGACCTGATTTGTTCTATCTTGCTCATCTCCAAACCAGGACCCACTTAAGTACCAAAATAAAAGTTTTTGCAAAACATTTTGCAAGGAAAATATTTTATTTTTGTCTAACTTACTAATGTTGAATTTATTTTACTTTTTTAAAAAGCTTGAAAAATAAGTGGAAGTGACTTCAAAGTTCAGACACCTACAAGATAGATTTTGCTCAAGCCTTTCTCATCTATGGAGAAAATGTTTCAGGACAGATAAGTGCCCTCACTAGGGGAGAAATAAAAGCAGTCTTCAATAAAGTGGCTTTTTACATGAGTGGAAGCATTTGATTTGATTTAGCCTTTATACATTTTTCCTAATCATAAGCTATTTGGTTTCAAGTTAAAGTTTCTTTAACTGCAAGTCTGCAAATTTTATTGAATTATTAAAAATTTCATTCTAAAACTTGATTTCAGTGAATGTAATTTTTTAAAAGAATGAGTGAAATAAAACCAAGAGATTCATTCATATTTTATTCATGCTTCTCCACCCCTCCACCTCCAAAGTAGTAAGTAAAAAATAAAATAAAATAAATGAATTTTTTTATTTTACCTTTTATTACCAACTAACCGGGACCTTTTGGTGTTCTCTGTTGCTCTAAATAAAATATAACATCCTGACAATTTGCAAGACTGAGATGGTACTTTAATCAGATTTTGACAAAGCAGACTCTATTTAAGAAAAAAAAATGATAAAAGGGTAAACAAAAGAAGGAAATGATCCCGTCAGATTGCTATTTATTAACGCATCATGAGATCTCGCTTGCACCTGTTTCACTTTTGTTTAAAAGTAAAGAGCAGTATTGCAGCAAGTGAACCAGGGTGTCAGTGTTGTGGGAGGGGACATAAAACGAGAGTGAGGGAAGCTTCAGAAACAATTTCCTCAACACAGAAAAGAACATAACTCTCTTACCTATGAGCCAGGTAGTTTGCAAGAGAAACTGAGAGGGATATGCACGAAGCCTGGGACCAGAGTCTGCCACATCAGTCGTGTTTACTCCTGATAAAATAATCACCTGATGTACGAGGGTTACAGTCCCTTGTCTTAGATCGGTTTGAGAGGCAGTTCTGGCAGCAGAGAGCGTAGGTGTGTTCCACTACACTGAATGGAATAAAGCTAAAAATATGTCTAGTGTCTGACAAGATCTCCAGTCTACCCAAGCTCTCATTTAATGTTGGACTTTCTGTTTTGCTTTTAAAGAAAAATGTTTTACAAGGACAGCATGAAGCGGACAAAATCTGGAGCAAAGAAGGATTTTATGCTGTTGTCATTTTTCTCAGCATCTTTGTTATTATAGTAACATGTTTGATGGTAAGTTTGCTTCTTTATATATTTTATCCTTTGCTGAGCCCACTGCTTAATATTACTGGATACATTGCCGTTCAGGTGAATGTTGAGAAGACTGGTGGCAGAAACAAGACTATGTCATGTTGGGTACATTTGACATCGGACAGCAGAGTGAGTGCTAAAGAAAACCTATGGAATTATGTTTGTGGAACTGCATAATAAGGCTGTAATTGCAGTAAGGCTTCTAGTAACTTGATCAACCCTAAGTGTGAAGCTTTAGAAGGTGATTTACCAAGGTCACTGAAGCCTTCAAAGTCATTCCAGTCTCATGGGCACGCTTTGGGCTTACTTTATTTCTTGTTTTATATCATCTTTATGAAACTCAGGAATAAAAAAAAAGGAAATATGTCTTAAGAGTATGCTTACTCTCTAAGGAGTGGTTGATTTCCTTATTTCTGAAGGGCCTTGAAAGCATTCTACAAAATACCAGGCATGAAAAGGAGGGGATTATAGGCTCAAAGGCTAAACAGTCCACTACCAACTAATTCTTTAAGTGACTGAATAATATAAAATGTATATACTGCAATAGTTCTTTACGTTACAAATTAGTGGTCTTTAACCACATATTTCTAATTAAATAACAGAACCAAAAATAAACCTAAACTCACTAAACCAGGCAGTGCTATTTGGTCTTGAATGAGTTAACAGTTACCTTGCAAGCAGAATGATAACTTTTTCAAATCTTTTGCAAATTTTCTGATGTAACATAATCTCTGAAGTTTACGAAAGGGGTTTAATGTATTTTTTTTTCCTGGAAGCTATGTTCTTTTCTATTTGCCATATTTAAAAAAGTGTTTCTTCTTAGTTTTTAAATGCCCCCAGAAAAGACATCATGCTACTTATTTTATCTGCGATCAATAGTAGTGCTAAGTGTCTTGTTAGATTTTGTTCATTTGTGCTCCCCCTTTCTGGGAAGGGGTTTATGTTAGAAATATTAGCACTCCAGTCTGGAAAGTCAGAGGCTGAGTGGGTCTAAACTTGAAAGATACAGAACAATTAAGGCCACAAATAAGGTGGATGTAATCATATTTCCTAGAGACCAAAATACAGGAAGTAGCAAAAACACCCTAAAGCTTCCATCATAATGATAATGGCTATGAATTCAGAGGCATCTTTATGGTCCAGGCATAAAGACAAAAAAAAATTTTAAGTTATGACACAATAAACAAAAGAATAAAATTGAATAAAAGAGCAGATTTTTATATCTTAAATGGTGGAAATTTAAAAAAGAAAAAGAATTTTAATGAGAGGATACTGAGGAGGTGGCTGGCTGAAAGTTTTGTGGAGATTGTAGCAGAGGCCTCTGGGCATTTTTTAGTGTTTTAGAGGGTATGGTTCCTTGTTATGCTTAATTTCACTTCAAAATATGTGATTCTTCTTTTCTTTTATACAGGAAATCGCAGGTACTGCTCTCTCTTGTCAGTCACAATGAGTGTGTTTTTCTCTCTTGCAGATGAAAAAGGATGGGCGGAGAGGAAGGATAGGAAGGGGTAAAGAGGAATACATAGTAATGGAGCTTTTAAAGAGGGTAAATGGATTAACATTCAGAAGAGCAAAGGCAAGGATAAAGAGAAAAGTGGGAAGGTAGATTCACGAGCAGACTCTGAGTCCTGTTGTTGTTAGGTGTGGTCAAGTGGGTTCCAACTCATAGTGACCCCACACACAACAGAATGAAACACTGCCCGGTCCTGCGCTGTCCTCACAATCTTTGCCATGTTGGAGCCCATTGTTGCAGCCACTGTGTCAGTCCATCTCTTTGAGTGTCTTCCTCTTTTTCACTGACCCTCAATTTTACAAAGCATGATGTCCTTCTTCAGGGACTGGTCCTTGCTGATAACCTCTTCAAAATACGTGAGAGGAAGCCTTGCCATCCTTGCCTCTAAGAAGCATTCTGGCTGTACTTTTTCCAAGACACTATAGGGCAGAAAGGGGCAGGGTAGAATTTTACCATACAAGATATGTTTGAGAGTCCGCATTCCTAACCCAGGGAACACCTATGTATCCAACCAAAACCAAAAACAAACCAGTTGCCGTGGAGTAGATTCTGACGCATACCAACCCTATGTGTGTCATAGTAGAACTGTGCTCCATAGGGTTTTCATGGCTGTGACCTTTCAGAAGCAGATCTCTAGCCCTTTCTTCTTCCAAGATGTCTCTGAGTAGGTTCGAACCACCAACATTTTCATTAGTAGCTGTGCACTTAACCATTTGCACCCCCGGGTACTCCATGTGTATCCAACAAGACTACCTAAATCCCTGCATGACATACTGGTCTTATGTGGCAAAAGGACCTGCAATAGCCACACCCTCAGCCAGTTGGGGCCAGAGGACAATTCTTCTTTCCCAATATTTGCAAAACATCAATGTGAAAGTCAGAAACCTAGGTAAGTCTGCTCTAATGTTACTAGAACAATTAAATAAGGAATGCTTAAAAGGTATAGGTGATTGCTCTCTTTTGGGTTGCTAGGTAGATGCATCCACTCATTCAATCAACAAGCTCTTTGGAAGCATGCACTGTGGGCATGTTGTTAAAGGCCTGTGAGCTGTGGGTCAGGAGAGAACAAGACAGATGAGGCCCCTGTTCTCCTGAAGCCTATACTCTAGAGTTGGACACAGTGAAAAATTAAGTTAATTTTTAAAAAAATCAAATATCATAAGTGCTGTGAAGAAGACAGCATAATAGTGAGTGAGTGGAGCAGGCGTTTGAGGCATTTGATAGCAATGAGTAGAGATGAAAATGTGAGAAAAAGACCGCCTAGGCAAAGGGTACAGTGTGTGGCACAGGTCTGAGGTGGGAATAAGCTTAGCTTTATTCCCTAGGTGTTACAAACAGTTAACATGCTCAGCCGCTAACCAAAAGATTCAAGGTTCAGATCTACCCAAAGGTGTCTCAGAAGGAAGGCCTAGCAATCTACTTCCGAAAAATCAACCATGGAAAACCCTATGGAGTCCAGTTCTACTCTGACACACGTGGAGTCGCCATGAGTCGGAGTTGACTCAAAGGCAACTGGTGGCGATCTGGGTTCAAGAAGAAGAACAGAAATCAAGTGTTTTGAGCACGTAGGGCCTTGTTGTGATCTGATTTGTGTATTTAAATGATCATATTCTCTGTTGCCTGAAGAATAGTTGCGACAAAGGATGGGATGACCTGTAGAAGCAAGAAGACCATTGCAGAGGCTACTACAATAGATGAAAAAGATGATGGCTCAGAGAAGGGGGGTGGGGGTCAGTGGCAGTGACATGGAGAGAAATGAATGACTGAGGATTTATTTGAAGGTAGAGCTGACAAGATTTGCTTTGTACTGATTCTGGAGGAGAGGGAAATAAAAAAGTAAAGGTGACTCCAAAGTTATTTGATTTGATTACCTAGAAGGCAATGCTCCCAATTCCTGGGAGGAGAAAGATGTTTGAGGGTGAAGGTAATAGCGAGAGAGAAGCAACATTTTTACTCTGTATTCAAATAAACCAAAAAAAAAAAAAAAAAAAAAACCCCATTGCTGTCGAGTTGATTGCCACTCACAGCAACGCTATAGACAGGGTAGAACTGCCCCATAGGGTTTCCAAGGAGCAGCTGCTGGATTTGAACTGCCAACCTTTTGGTCAGCAGCCATAGCACACCATAGCTCTTAACCACTGTGCAACAGGACCCCTGTATTCAAATAGTTGTCAAATAAATGAAAGAAACAAGTAAAATGATAGATTTCAAACACTATCTTAAATTTTAATATGAAAAAGTCACTTAAAAAAAGTAACAAGAAAACCTGCAGTACATAAAAAGGAACTGATAATAATAGGAAAATAAATACTACCTAGTAGATAGGATTAAAATGAAGCTCAGTTTATTTGATGATAACTTAACCACTGACAAGTCAACAGTTCAATTTAGGGGCATGTCAAAAGTGATTCTCTAAAATAAGCTTATCTTTGTCAATGTTCAAATGGTTTTGATAATGATCTTGCTTTCAAGTGAGTTTTTTACTTGAATCTGTAAGTAACAGTCAATGCTATCACTGTTGTAATCCTCAAACATATATACTCCATCCTGTTATCTATAATTTTGTGGATTCAATGCACAGGAAAAGAAAGAACTCAGAATTTTCCTTCTGGCATTAATTATATTTATGGAAGACCAAATACTATTATTGGCACCCAGTCTTCCTACACACCATAGAAAAGAAAAGCACGTGCTTTTATTATGAAGCTATACAGGTAAATGGCTGTAATGGAGGACTACAAGTCCTATGTAAAAATAACTTGAGACATGGCCACGTTTTTTAAATGTGGCACATTGTTTACTTTCCTTAAAATACAAAAATGTTTTTAATGTTGCCAGGCATAAAATTAGACAGACATGACATTTTCAAACGTGTGACTTATTTAAGCACCTCTCAAATGTGAATGTAGAGTGGGTGGAGCAGCAAATAGACAAATACAATTTTCCGAGAAACATTGTGTGGGCAACTTTTAATCCATTCAGTCTGTTTTAGGTGGAGAAAGTCTATTACTAAGAAGAATTAATTCTTCAACTTGAATAAATAATAGGTAGAATGCCATTTATCATCTAAATTCGATCTCCAAATGAACTTAGAGGTTTATTAACGAGTGCAAAGGTGTTTATTATGTGTAGGAAAAGATGTGTAGAAGCTGGATTGCTATACTGTTACACAGTTTAAGAAAATGCATAGGAACAGCTGTTTGGGTTGGTAAAAGCTCTGGCGTGTTAGACCCATAGAGGAGTCATCATATGTGATACGTAGAGTTTCTCTAGTTATGGTCTAGTTAGTAGAGGCAGGAAATTATTAAGACCACCTGCTATAGCCTGAGCATCATGCAATAAACACAGGTTAATGTGAACATTAATAGCTATGCTTTTCTAATTTGCTATATATAATCCCTAGGGGTCGAGGGAAATGAGACTAGATTTCTAGCTGGAATGATTGGTTCCAGAACTATTTTCCAAGGTA